TCATTCATAACAGCAAAACAGTGTTAGTGGCAACGCACAGATGGTCCCGTGTTCAGCACCAACCGACTGCTCCAGAGAGCAGCAGCCACGTGTGACCCAAGCCATTGTGCTACAACATGCTTAATGTTTATGTTTATTAAAATTAAAAATCACCATCCATAGAAACAATATTTACATAAGTGATAGTCTGCTTAACTGCGTGGGTGGCTGCAGGAAGCCCGTGGAGCGAGAGGTGAGGGCCCCTGGTGCTGCAGCCCTGCTGAAGCTTCATCCCAAGGGCTCCAGGCTTCTCCCGAGTACCATTTGCTTAAGGAAGTGAGGAGGGTGCTGGGCTTTAACAGCAAAAAGCTGTCACTTCAAAGAAGAAACCCCTGCCCTGTAGTTACACTGCAGTTGCACCAGCTCAGCGTTGGAGAAATCATCTTGCCCGAACAATCTGAAGTAGGTAGAGCGTAGCCAAATGCTTCAACTTCTTGTTAGGAGTTACGGGTTTGCGTGGTAAGCAACAAGCCTCTAGTGTCCCTGCAATGTAACTTGATGCATTATTGCAAATTGTCCTTGATCACGCTAGAACTAGTTTGGGCTTTAAAAAAGGCTTTAGGTTAGTTGATTAAAGCAGCAAAAACACAAGGAATATTCTTGAATAATCATGACCATTTAAAAGAACTAAGCTGAACACACTTTCCCTGGTACCGGCTTTAGTGAGTGCGCGGAGGATGTGAACGCCCTTCGCCGGCCTGTGCTGCCCCGGGGGGCGCCGGGAGCGGCTGCGAGGGCCCCATGGCTCTGGCTGCGCTCAAGCGGCGGCGGCTCCAAACCGGCCCCAGAGCCACCGGCAGCAACGTGGCGGCGGAACGGGGTCTGCTGCGGTGTCAAAAACTGCCTCCGTGGCCCCTTCCTTAAGGAAGTCTTATACCTTTTAGAAAGTCTCGGAAGAGGTGACCATATCCACTAATGTGAAATAACAAGGATATAAAAATAATTTCCACATTGCTTTCTTTTGAAAACAGCTCTTCGTGCATCTCCTCATCCTTCATAAAGGTCTCCTTGGAATGTATTCCTTCACTTTGAGCTGAAAATACTTTGTCAACTTCTACCCTCCTCCTCCCTCCCTACCCCAAAAAAATCCTTGGTTTGGGATGTTTCTGCGTATACAAAACGCAGGGCATTTAAAGAGAACTTCAGCCTTTAGAGGCACCAAAGAAAAACATGATTATTTCTCTGCAGAATGACTCTTTCGTTTAGCATTTCAGCCTCTGCACGTGGTTAAGACATCCGAACTGGCAAAGTGGTTGCCCTGAGCACTCTGCCCAGGTGCTGCTCTGTGCCAAGGGCCTGGGCCAGCGGCCGGCGCGCTATGGCTGCTGCTGGTACTGCCCCTCCGTGGCCGTGTAGAAGTCGTCGAGCACGCTCTGCAGGTAGTCGAACGTTGGCCTCTCCTCCGCCTTGTCCTTCCAGCAGGTCTTCATGATATCGTAGAGCTCAGCTGGGCAGGTCTCCATCCGCGGCATGCGGTACCCGCGCTGAAGCGCGACCATCACGTCGGAATTGCTCATACCTGACACAGGAAAGAAATGGGAAAGATCATTTTGATCTCCGACTCCTCAAGAAACTGTTTTTCTGTTGCTTGGGTTTTTTCTGTGTCACCCTCCTCTCCCGAGCTGCGTCGCTCCTGCCCTGCTCGCTGGGCCTCCCTGGCCTTCGCAGTAACACCCCGGCGCGGACGGGGTCTGTCACGACGGCTTGTGCAAAACTGCTGCAAGAGCCTGAGCATCACGGGCACGGTCTGTTCTGCGACTGGCCATTTCCTCTCCCTTCCCCTCTTACGGCACAAAGAAAAAGTCTTGCTGCCTGGGGTGAGTTTTGCCCGTTCTGCCCTGCGTGGTTTTTCCCTGAGGATGAGCCCTGGTCCGATCCCTGGCCTCAGCGTCACCCGCCTGGGCACGGACATCGGGAGCCTCCGGCCGCTCCGCCGCGGTGCAGGTCCCTTGGGCCCCGCGGTGCCCTCTGGTGAGGGTAGTGTGGGACCCTTGTCTCTGTCCCTGCCCAGGCAGCAGGGGGCACACGGTGGCCCCGAGGCCTCCAGGACCCTGCTGCTCTGTGGTAGGATCTCCACACAGCCCATACAACTTAGGGTTAACATTAAATAAATAATTTGCAGGAATTTAACAATAGGACTGACCCAAACCTTGGCTCAAAAACCTTCCAAGGTCAGTGTGACTTCAGTTCAAGCCTTTTGTCTTTAACTTGTTCTAGAAACGTGAGCCATGAAATGTGGTGCTGGACCAGAATGCCCACGCAGGACACATGCTTTGTATTTCCCAGGTTCCATCTCTGAAGAAGGCAGAGGGAAGTTCTGCCATGTCTAGACACAAAAATACCTTCTAGAGGACAAGAGTGGAACGGGATATTGTCACTATTGTCACAGAATAAAGCATTTTTACTATAAAAAAGCAAAGCAGAAGACAAAATAAATGTAGGAAGAAGGTTGCTAAAGCATTTTTATAGAGTATATGTTAATGATCCATACTAGACATCTGAGTGGTGGAACTCAGAGCAGCACCACGTCCAGGGCGCCCCAGGGCTGCGCCTGCGCTGCAGAGCCCCGGCCGGCTGGTGCTGCCGGGCGCTGCCCTGGGGGGCTGGTTTGGG